GTCGGTAGAACCGCAGCGGGAAGATATGGATACTTCGATCTTGTTGAAGGATGGAGACAAATTACACACTACAAAGCCATTGGAGTCTCAAGTGTGCTTATCATGATTAGCATCGGGTAATTTTCTTCTCTCTGTCTATCTCTTCTTTCTAGCTAACCTTTTTAGTGGCTTCAATTTCTTTGGACTTTCCGTGACCAGAACAGTCAGCGCCACATCTAGGTCCACCATCGACACTTGTCGTACACTCTTTATTTGGATTGTATCACTATTTCTGGGATGGGAAACTTTCAAGTGGTTACAAGTTCTTGGCTTCGTATTACTCGTATACGGAACTTTCTTGTTCAACGACCTTGTCCGACCTCCTTTGAAGTCCTGCGTCGTTCGTGATGTGGATGAGCTCTTGCCGTAAGTTCAATCGAATCTTTCATATCGTCCACCCGTCATTAGATTTTGTCTGGAACCCCCCTTCTTTGTAACATATTTCTGCAACTCGCATTGGTACCTGTGAGTGTTTTTCTGTATGGGCAATTGCTGATTCACAGATTTAGAGAAGAACCTATTGAACATATGTAAATACTCTTAGGAGCCGCATGGGGAGCTGTGTACAGGACGAGCTTTGTTCGGGGAGAATAGTGTTTGTGGAGGAATTAGATCAAGTAAGAGACAGAATATATATTGATAAATTGCGATGAGAGGCGTGCGCGCGTTTTGGTTGGTATCGGATAATGACGGTTTGGGTTGGAGCATTAGTCGGAGGCGCAAATGGGGTTCAGGATTCATATGCATGTAAGCTTGTATGTAAGCCTCAAATTTGTAAAATAAAAATAAATAAAAAAAGAATATAAATCCAAAAAATGTTGAGCATGTGTAGATAATCTATCTGCACGAGATCTGCACGAGATTGAATTCGGAACGTGATAGTCAGTATAGAAACCTGTCTATTCCGTTACCTTGAGGTATACTTTCGGAAGCATCGGGCTGGATTAGGTGAGCCGCGAGTATCGCCTCGATTTTAAAGTTGTATGCAGTGCAGTGCAGTGCAGTGCAGTAACTTTGATTGATTTAAGAGGTTCGCGTATGATTTATTACGAAGTGATCTACCCCACTCCTTGTTTGTGTGGTGGGATGGTTGGTGTTGGGGTTGGGGTTGGGATTTGTTCTGTTTGCTTTAGGAAGGAGGAAGAGGAGAGAGGAGAGAAGAAGAAGAAGAAGAAGAAGAAGAGGAAGAGGAAGAGGAAGAGGAAGAGGGAGGAGGGGGGCGGGGGTGGTGTTGATAATTAGAATAGTCCTGGAGAAGGTAGTTTGGGATCGGTTGATTATGAGACTAGATGTATAATCATGTATTGTTTGTAGTGTTTGGGTTTGGGTTTGGGTTTGATTTGATTTGATTTTTTTGATCTTGATCTTGATCTTTTTGAGGGGGGAAAAGGAAGGAAGGGAGATGATGACATGTGATGGGGTGGGATAGGATGGGATGGGCAGTGATGTATCGTGTGGTTTTTTTGCTTTTTGGGGTTTTTGGGGTTTTTGGGGTTTTTTGTGGTATGTATGTTTTGGTGAGGGGGAATGGGTAGGTTGATTGATTGAGTTTATTTGATGGATTAATTTGATGATGATGTTATGTTGTTGTTGTTGTTGTGTTGTATATTTATTTATTTATTTATCTATTTATTTATCTATCTATCTATCTATCTATCTATCTATCTATCTATCTATCTGTCTATCTAATCTGTAGAGAATATCTAACCTGTAGAAAATATCATCATACGTAGGTAGGTATATACATACATACATACATACATACACAGCTGGATAAAAGACGAAAGAAAGGAAGGAAAGAACGAAGGGAAGGAAAGAAAAGGAAAGGGAGGGAAAGAACATCAGAAAAAGAAATGAATCGGTAAATGGAAGGGAATGGACCGAATGCTTATCTACGGTTGCAGGTGTGATGACTCGTTTTGTTTTGTGAGGAATGGATGGATGAATGAATGGCTCGTCCGACGTTGCTCTGGTGTCTGGAGTGAGTGAGTGAGTTATTCGATGCTGTCGGTAGAGTAGATTTATGGGTGGGGGTGCGTTGATTGGATGGATGGGATGGGATTGGATTGGGGATGTGCGGTGCGTGCATGCGTATGTGCGAATGTGCGGCTCATGGTGGTGGTGGATGGTGGATGGTGGATGGTGGATGGTATGGTATGGTGAGGGAGTACCTAGGTAATGTGTTTTGGTTTTAGCCGCATGGTGGTGTGGGTGTGGGTAGTTGGATGGTTGGATGGTTGGATGGTTGGATGGTTGGATGGTTGGATGGTTGGATGGTTGGATGGTTGGATGGCTTTAGTGATAGGGATGGATGTACTTGTAGCTATATCGCAGGTAGGGTTGGTGAAAGAGTGGGAGAGGAGAGGAGAGGAGAGGAGGGGAGAGGAGAGGAGGGGAAGAGAAGGGAAGAGAAGGGAAGGGAAGGGAAGGGAAGGGAAGGGAAGGGGAGTGTTTTGTGATTTTGTGTGGGTGAGTGAGTGAATGAATGAATAAATGAATGAATGAATGGGGGTTTGGGGATTCAATTTGGATTAGATAAGATTGGATTGGGGGATTGAATGATTGAATGAATGAATGATTGAATGGTTGAGGGGTTGAGGTTGAGGTGCGGGGTTAGGTGATAGGTTATATTATATATTATATATTATATGTGATGTGGTGGTATACATTGTTGTTTATGTAGTATTTACATATGTAGTGAAATTGGAGGGATAGAATGATTTTGAGATTATCAAGTGAGACCTCGATTACTGGAGAGGAATAGAAGTTTCATGAATTAGGAACTTATATGATAATGAGATGAGATGAGAGAAAGTTTTCTAAAGGGTGAGCATTCAGAACGGATGATCAAATGGGAAGGTGGGAGATGAGAGATGAGAGATGGGAGATGGGAGATGAGGATGTGAGAGAGGGGTGAATAGAATGGGATCATATACATTATGCGATACATATATATCTACCTACCTATTTGACAGGGTGAAGGAAGTAGTTTCGAATTCAATGTAACGGTGAATAATATTACTTTTCATCCATCTTCATGTTCATTCGTCTTTGGATCATGGTTGATGCTGTATGTGCTTACTAGCCAGGTTAGATATTTCTGAAGTTTGACCTAATTCAACCTTGAACGAATGAAGCATTCTCATTTGTGCCTGCCCTTCCCCCCCCCTGGTGAAAAACCAAGACAAGTACAGCCTCAATTCTCAACCTTAACAACAGCCGTTAATTCCTGGTTGCAGCTTTCTAATCTAACTGGGTGAGTCGTTTGTTCCACGCAAGAAAGTTCAAGTCAGCGTGGCCGTGTGATACTCGCATTCGTTGCTCACTTAGGAATCGAGTTGGAACTTCGAAGAGAGAGGGAGGCAGAGGGAGAGAGGGCAGAGTGGACAGAGCGAACAAAGAGGGCAAAGAGATAAACCATACTATCTATCTATCAATCAATCAATAACCGTTTTATTTTTCTTCTTTCTTTTTCCCTCCTCCCTTCTCGGCAAGCGAATACTACGATGCGGCGCTCTTCAGCGGCGTAATTCATAATGCTACCCTATCCACCTATGAGGATAAGCCACACATACACCACGCCTACTTGAGTGAGGTACATGAACATGATGTTAACACTGCTATGTATTCACAGTAGTATGTATTGACTTATATACTCGGCCAGACTTCCGAGGTATACGAAAAGTGCTCTAGATTTCCCCCCGTCCATGAGGTACTCTAGTGACGGCGATACCGAACAATAATACATAGGTTACGGGGGAGACACGAAAGAATGTTGATATATGTCTCTCTATCTGAAGGGAACCATTGCACTACACAAGCTGGTGATCTGTTGTCTCAATTCTCGCGGTGGTTCTAGCTGAACACTGGCAACGTTGGTTCATCATCTACCGGCGCGCACTGCCTTCTTTGAGATGTAAGGTTACAGAGAATGCGAAAGGTTTCATAAATAGATGCCGAGTCCTCTGAATCAAATTAGATTGCATGTACCTATCTATATACATACCTTGAGTACCTGGTCATTCACGTGCTAATGCTTCTTGTCCTATTACCGTGCTCTGCTCTCCTCTCTCATCATATCTCGTCAAGTAAGTTATATTGTTGTAGTAGGGATGGATGCATCGAGCGAAAGATACTCCGCATTTCGAAGCGTTCCATGGATCCTTTTCTGTTGGCCGCAGATATGGTTTGATAGATTTGACAGCTACCACACTACCACACTCCCTAGGTACATTATACATATTCCAAACAAACCTTGAGAAATCTTAAATTAGAAACTGCTCGACTGCTTTGCCGGTCATGATGCCAGAGGAAGCCCCAGTAATATATGTATGTAGGTATAGTAGTGGTATAATGTACGCAGCACTTGAAGAAGCTGTACTGTACTACTCACCTGGGTCTGGTCTTTCATATTGGACAAGAAAAGCACCAGCCCAAGATGTACCCGTATCCATACATATCTATCCTCATTCACCCACCCATTCAGATACACAACCCGCCCACGACCAGATAAAAGATAATCAAATATTTAATCGAATTCTCCCCTCATTCGTTTCCTGGGGAAGGAAGGACTTTACCGCACCGCTACTCTTACGTTTGTCTACCTATACACTTGTCTATCTTGCCGTGCAGTGTCTTTTCTTGTCTAGTCTACTTTGATATTTGACATTTGACATTTGACATCTGATGTCTAGCATCTAGCATCTAGCATCTAACATCTAACATCTAACAAGCAATTCTCGTAGACTTCTCTCCCTTCAATCTTGTTCTCCACACTTTTGCCCAATTTTTTTATGTTTAAACATATTATGCAATTTTTACAAATAGTGCATATTGGACATTAAAGAGGGGACTCTGGGGCTCCAGATTTGCGCTAATTCTACGGTCGTCTGAAGTAATCAACGAAGCTAGTTCATGGGCAGATCTACCGGATCTTCTTCTATACAGATCGCACACGCTTCACTTTATTCTTCACTCAATCATACTATTTGGGCCATATTTTATACTCTAATTTTCTTTTACCTCTTTTTCTAATTTCACTGTGTATATTTTATTATCCATCCTCGGTCAGCAATATTATTAATCGGCTGAGCGATTCCGGGAAAGTACGATTAGAAGCTCGCGCAATATAATCGCAACCTTGGAAAGTCAAATTATTCTGTGCAAGAACGAGCCGACGAGTTCTAGAAACGATTCAAGCCGCGGCCCTCATTCCCCACGAATCTATCATCCTATTCGGTACTTGGATTATTCATGCAATCCTATTTATATTGTCTGGCTGTATTCTCTGCTACTTTCGAGTCAATCAGCATCTGCATGCCTTGTATGCTATGAATATCTGCCTAGCAGTTCAATGTATGCGATACGTTTAGTGGCTCAATGGAATTATGACCGAGATCGCAGATACATACTTTGATCCCGATGACGTTGGTCCGCGCGACAGTCCTATATTAAAACCGATGCATATTAATATCAGACCCTCTCCTCCCCCAGAGGTCCATCCGCCTCCTCCCATCAGTCCCGAAGCTGGTCCGGACGGACGCAAGGGGGAGATACGACCTAAGAGTCGCGCTTGTCAGGCTGACGCGGTACTCGTGGGGTTGATGGGTGGAGGGAATCGTCCTGACATTGCGCAGCATGCTGGAAAGGAAGCTCTGCCTTCAGACGAGGGTGAGGAAGACGAAAGTCCCGTCAGAGGCACGGCGGTAGAAATCCCGGGACGTGATATATCCCCTGGAACGGCCGATCTTGATATTGCCCAAATGGCAGTTGATATAATGAAGCGCACATTTCCGGAGTCTCGGAATAATTCGCTGGGTTCCACTGGGGAAGCTCTTGAAGGTGATCAGGTACCCGCAAATGGCAATGCCAATACAAATTCACAAGCACAATCACAAGCACAGGATGCTATAGATATAGAGAGAGCCAGATTACATTCCATTTCCCATGAATTATATCAAAATGCTACGGTACGGGGAAGTAGCGTAGAGGAAACGCATTCTACCCCACCTAACGATCCTGGAGGTCTTCCACCTATGCTCCACTCTCCACCTCAATCCGGCTCTACAAATAGCAATGGGAGTCAACACATTAAATTACCATCAATAGCTGAATCATTGAAACAGCTTGTTGAGGAACCACTACCCAATTCTAATGAAACTCCATACTCCCAATCTCCAGGGAGATCTATCTCGCGATTTCCTCCTGGGCCTGGAGTAACATCACCAGCTAACTCTCCAAATGGTCTTCGGAGAGATATTATGTCCTCGGGACCATTATTCAATCAATTTTCGACGAACACTTCGAGAAGACTTTCAACATCTGAAGGACGTCCATACGGTATGACGACGGATTATAGCAGTGGGAGCAATGCGGAAACTCCAAGTACTGATCAATCGGCTTCAACTCCCGCTACTATGGCCATTGATCGTATGAGTATAGATGGGATTACAAATCCACAGATTGGAGGATATCAGTGCAATTATCCGGGGTGTGTTGCTGCGCCTTTTCAAACACAGGTACGAATGAGACCATGCTTTTGATGGATTTCTGGATGTTCAAATATATAAAAAAATTGCTTAGAAAAGGGAACTTAAACTTCAAGATGCTAATCTCGTATACAAATAGTATTTATTAAATTCCCATGCAAATGTACATTCTTCCAATCGACCGCATTATTGTACGGTACGAGGATGCTCGAGAGCCGAGGGGGGAAAGGGGTTCAAGAGGAAAAATGAAATGATTAGACATGGTTTGGTTCATGATAGTCCGGGTTATGTGTGTCCTTTCTGTCCGGAAAGAGAACATAGATATCCAAGGCCGGATAATCTACAAAGGTATGTTCGAATTTCTCTATTTTTAAACGCCGCGTGGAGGGGGACTTTTGAATGTCAATTGATAATTTGATAATTCTCACGCCTTTGAACAAAACGGAAATAAATGCCTGGATTTTCTTCTAACTTGCAGCGAACATAGACATGTAAGAGCACATCACACAGATAAAGATAAAGACGACCCGCTCTTGCGAGAAGTGCTCGCGCAAAGACCAGAAGGTCCGAGTAAAGGCAGAAGACGTAGAGGTGGCAATTGAAAGCCGCTGCATAGGGCGGGGCGGTGACAATTGAGAGAGAAAGGAAGCGGGGAGTCAAAAATCGAAAAAATTAAAAAAGTTATCTATCGGTCTATCTTATCTATATATGGGTAGGATTATTTTCTTCACGCTTGATAAAATTGCAATTTGCGTTTGCAGATTCTTCTTGCAAGAGGTAAAAGGTCATAAAGTGGAGTGGTGGTGTTTCATGAGGAAGGGAGGCCTTGTTCTTTTTTTTTTCTTTCTTGCGTTGCGTTGCGTTTTCGGCGTTTCCTCTACTGGGTGAGATTTCTATCTACACATCTAGTTATGGAATGGCACGCACGCGCGCGCGCATAAACTTTTGCATTTTTTTATGAATTGATGGTTATGGATTCGAATGGGTTGGATGAATGGGATTGGATGAATGGAGTATGGGAGTGGGAGGCACTTTTTGATACCAGAAATGGATTTAGGGGGGTGTTTTTTTATTGTTTTCTATTTTTATTTTTATTTTTTATATTTTTTGGTTCTTGGTTCTTGGTTCTTGGGGGGAGAGGGGGGTTCTTTTTCTCCTCGCTCGCGAGAATGTGACTATTGGGGAGGGCGAAGGGGAGGGTATTGGATCTTGGATCTTGGGTCTTGGATGTGGGGATGAGTGGAGGGATGGGTGGATGGAGGGAGGGAGGGGTTGATGGATGGATTGAATAGTAGAATTCTTCGATTTCAAATGTCTATACATACCTACTACTCGCTACCCACTACCCACTACCCACTACTTACTTTGTACTCAATCTCTAGGTTTGTTTTAAAGGGGGCAATCCGGGACTCTAGCTATCTGTGTGTGTGTGTATGTATGCTTGTGTTTTGAAATTGCGAGTCTCGATCACGAGTATGATAGAAGATGAAGTTTTATTTTATTTTATTTTATTTTATTACTAAAGAAGAGAAACATACATGCCCACCACCCTACCACCCCTATCCATCCCCCGTTCCCCAAACCCCAATTTCCACCTTTGAATCACTCAACGCCTCGACAAACACTTCATCGAACCCCAATCTCCCACCCAGCCTCTCCACCACCACCCAAATCCCGCCCATGCGATTCATCTCGCTCGAGATATCAATCTCCCTCGTGCGGATCCCCGCCGGCGCATCGCTGAATTCTCCCTCGTTGGACGACTCTAGAAGAATCTTATTAGGGCCCTGACCCCTCTCAATACTAACTCTCAGACTCGGTCTCGATTTCGTCGGCGGCGGTCGATTTTCCATGCTCGTTTTTGCGACGAATCGCAGACGGGTGAGACGGGCGACGGTGATGGGTGCTAGCATTCTATCGATTCCATTTTGGAAAACGATGGTGGGGAGTTTGGCGACCAGTCTGCCTGCCGTTTCGGCGAGGACGGGTCGGATTTCGCATTTGCTCGAGGATTTGACGCGCAGGGTGAAGTTTCCGACTTCGCCTGCTTGGAAGGTGGAGCAGACGATGGTGTATTTGCCTGCGGCGACGTTGTGTAGTTCTGCCAATGCGCAGCCGCGGCGGTAGTCACCTGAGCCGCCGACTATGTCGCGGGAATTGATGACGGTGACGCGTTGTCCCGAGGCCCAGATCATGGTTACGTGGACGGCGATGTCTTCTTTGTCTGCTTCGAGGACGAGCATTATATCGGTAGGTTCTGTGATTGTGATGCTGAACTGAGGGTTTGAGGGGTAGGATGGAGAGCTGGCATTGCCACCCGCTGTGCGAGTCGTCCAGGAGCCGGGGTGAGAGGTGCTGAAGGTGTGACTGTCCGGGGCGGAACAAATAGTGAGGGGGGAGCGAGAGAAGAAGGAGAATGAGAAGGAGTATTTTGGGAGAGGGAGATTTTGTTGCGCGGCTACGACTGTGTAGGAGGTGTTTGTAGGTAGCTCGAATCGCGCGAGAGTTTGGGGAGAGTCGACATAGGCACCGCGGTGTAGAGCGCCATCGCTTAAGTAAACGCGATGGCCGGAGGCGTCAAAGACATACAGACTGATGAAGCCGAGGGACTTGGATGTGATGCTTTGAGTACTTGAACCTTGAGCAATATCGTGTTCCTCTGTAGTGAAGTGCCGACTGAGCAATACCCAGACAGTCTCTCCTTTAACAGAATGAACGACATATTGAGGGTTTTGAGTAAATGTCCCAATGTTGTTAATGTGTGGAATCGTCCAAGAGAGATGGTGATCTTGTCTATAACGAAAAAGTCCAGGGTTCCAATTGAGGTACAAGGATTCGAAATTTTGTATCACATCCTCAAATGCCATCCAAAAAGTTCCCGGTTTAGTGGAACTTCTCGCGGTGTCAGACGCTTCCAGTGACTCCCGGAGGCCTTCCGTCCAAGTGTTGTCTCCTGATGCACCCTGAACTGGGCTTCGTCTAGGCCCTTTCCAAGCCATACCATCGCACCAAGGATTTTTGACGAGCAATAGTCGTTGGGACCCAGATTCTCTCATGTCTAGAATAGCATAGTCATGCTCACCAACCAGGCCCAAGTCAGCTTCCTCTCTTCTGGTCAGCTTACCAGTTCCCAATGTAATCATGACATCGCCGAACTCAAAAGATTTATAAATACGCTTCCACAGTAATTCGGACTGAATTTCGTCACTTTATCGAATCGATTTGGTCAGTATAGCTTGATGCCCGGGAAAGGGTATGCAATACCTCTGTAAAAATATTTGCTCGGGAATCCATCCAGTCATTATCCATAAGTCTGTGCCAGAGTTGGAGCCTGGAAAATCATAGCCGCCTCGCACTTTGAGATATGCTTTCTCAATTAATGCAGGCCATAGCAGCATAGGATTGTTTCTATCCACGACATGAAGATTGCGAGCTGAACTTGAAGCTGGTAGCCGATCGTCTATTGTGACTTTTCTATAACAGCCATTGAATTGGAGACGGAGTATGTATTTCCCATTTTTAGATGATCTCGGCCTCTGCTTTTTGATATCATATGGGCGCAGAATGGTGTCCAGTACCTGTTAGAGAGAGTCAGTAAACTTAAAGTATTGTGGGAATGATAGACGAAAATGCACATGCCTTGCTATGACCTTTTCCAGCACGTGCTGTTCCCGCACAAAGACTGGCTACGACAGAACAATCTGTAGTTATATCCTGGACAAGATCAATATCCTTAGAGGCATTCATAAGAATATCGGTATTTTCCACATCTTTCAACATTTGAGAAAGAACATCATCCCTCTCGTGAGGTCTCTTCCAACCTGCAAATGTTTCAATTTGATCCTGGGAAAGCTTTAGCTCAGAAGGATCTCTATCGGAGTCAGTAAACGGCCTCGGTATACTCATTCATTTTATCTACATACGTATATAGTGATGCTTCAAATATCGTGTCGTCAGGCTCAGATGTCCACCGTGGGAAGATAAATCCATGCAATCTTGATCCCTCGAGCAAGATAATTTCTTCATGTTTACTCAAGGTTCGTTCGGATACTGGAGCTTTCAGGGAGATTGAAGCGGGTTTTAGAGGCCAAGTGGATGACTTCTTGATCTCTTCCGCTTTCAACATCAATGCCTTGCATTTTCGGTTGATCCTTGCCTTTTCGGCATTCCCAAGTACTTGCTTTGAAACTTCAATATACAACTCAATAGCAGCAATAGAGACTTTTAAAGCTTCTTCCTTGGAGCTACATTTGTCAATGCTTAACTGCGTTTCCTAGCCCCAGTGTCAGAATGACTTATTCCATCACCAGGATTGATGGGTATTGACGTACAAGAGCTTTGGCTTCCATGATAGCTACAACAACTCTCATAGAGAAATATTGCTTCGGATACGAACGTGAGCAGCATATGAATGAGATGGTTCTCAAACGGTAGACATCAAGTCATATCCCTAAGCCAATACTCGTTCGGCTGATATATGGCTTTTCAGACTGCTGAGGGAGGCTTGAGACACTGTAAAGCTGGAGAAAGAAGAGTAAGCAAAGCCGTAAGAGTGTTATCTGATCAGCCTGGGTTTATGCTTTGCTTGTTTATGTAGTTAAACCAACGGCTTGGATTGTCGTCGTTTCCCATCCGTTTCATCAGTTGCCAGAGAGCTGAATGTCCACGTGATACTCGAGATCCATCACATCAAGGTTGTCAAGGTTGTCAAGGTTGTTTGAGGATAACCGTGGACATTACGATAGAGTTCTTGGCATGAAGCAGTGGAAATTCTGTACGTAGAATGATGGAATAAAATGCACGGACCCATGGTGAATATCCGAGCCGAGGTTTAAGATCGTCACAAACTCCGACCCTCGCGCCGCGCATGATAGCAATACATAACGGCTACCGGTAACTATGAAGAAGGAAGGAATATGATTCAGGAATTCTTCAAACTTAATATCACATCTTAGATATTCATAACCTCCTATTTATCTATCTGCATTTGTGATACATACTTCTGTCGATTATAAATTACTTAAATTTTAAATAAGATATGAAAAAGACCTTGCACTAAACTTATTTCTTTACCTAATAATACCCAGACTCAATATCCATTATTGCTTGTTTGTTTGCTGCTTCATGAAATTTTAAAATACAATCGTTCTATATTCCTCCCACTCAAGAATATAAAGTTGGCTCAGTGTATTCTACAAATCCAACATGACAGGACAATCAAAAGAAGCTGTTATTCCACCATGGGGTTTGGCAGTTGCTGGAGCTACAGGAGCTGTAATTGCAAATGCTATGGTATATCCCCTGGATATGTAAGTTTTGATCTCCGTTTGCGTGCGCATTCGCAAGGCGGTATGTAATCGTTTGCTTATATTCTACTAATCTGTTGGTATTTTGTGGCTAACATCGTAATTCTACCAGAGTAAAAACTCGTCTGCAAGTTCAAGTCAAACGCAAGCCGACCGATGTAGCACCAACGGGTGATGATGCAGTCCACTATACGTCGACTTGGGATGCAATTTCTAAGATTGTAGCCGAGGATGGAGTTGCTGGACTCTACGCTGGTATCAATGGCGCCTTGATTGGTGTCGCCTCAACCAATTTTGCCTACTTCTACTGGTACTCGGTCGTTCGAACGTTATATCTCTCTTCTCAGAAAGTCCCCACGCCTCCAAGCACTGCAATCGAATTGTCTTTAGGAGCAGTCGCGGGAGCTGTTGCCCAGGTCTTTACTATTCCTGTTGCAGTAGTTACCACTCGTCAACAAACACAAAAAAAGGGTGAAAGGAAAGGGATGGTAGATACAGCTCGGGATGTTATCCATAGCGAAGATGGTTGGACCGGCCTTTGGAGAGGTCTCAAGGCCAGCTTAGTACTTGTCGTTAACCCTGCCATTACATATGGCGCATATCAAAGATTGAGAGAGGTTGTTTTCCCAGGAAAAACAAACCTCAAACCATGGGAAGCATTTGGTAAGTTTATCAATTTAATGGGACTTTCGGGATCTAATTGAAATGATAGTATTGGGAGCAATGTCCAAATCCCTTGCGACCATTGTAACCCAGCCTTTGATTGTTGCAAAGGTTGGACTTCAGTCAAGACCACCCCCTTCCAGAGAAGGTAAACCTTTCAAAAGTTTTATCGAAGTAATGCAATTCATCATTCATAATGAAGGATTGCTGGGCCTCTTC